CATCCGAGATGTAGATGAGTTTGTTTCTTCATTGCAACAGATTTGGAGAAGTTTAGCATTATATCAGTTTTTCACTCTGCAGTGAATGGGTGCCGTCAGAATGAGAGTCCAAACAGCTGATAAAAACATCACAATAATCCACAAGTAATCCACACCACTCCAGTCCATCAGTTAACATCTTGTGAAGCCAAAAGCTGCGTGTTTGCATTAAAAAAACAAATCCATCATGACATTTTAACTTCAAACCGCAATTGCTTTTGGCCAAGATACGAATTCATAATTCATAATCATGCTTCCTCCAGTGAAGAAGTCCATCCCTGTTGTCCTTTCACATCAAAATCCACCCACATATTTGTTTAGGACTGTTTTAGCTTGTTAACAGTGTTTGATCTGTGCATATGTCTCTCCTGATTCAGACTTTTTTCACTGGAGAAAGCAATATATTGGATAGAGGCCTCGTGTGCAGTTAAAAATGCCTTAATGATGGATTTGTTTCTTTCAGACGTGCAGTTTTTTGTCTTCACAAGTCAACTGCTGGACTGGAGTGGTGTGGATTACTTTTTATCAGACTCTCATTCTGACGGCACCCATTCACTGCAGAGGATCCATTGGTGAGCAAGTGATGCAATGCTACATTTCTCCAAACCTAATGAAGAAACAAACTCATCTACAGCTTGAATGGCCTGAGGTGTGAGTCAGATTTTCAGGAAATGTTCATTTTTGGCTGAACTATTCCTTTAGATTTTGCATTGTAATCTACACTATGTAACTGGACCGGACTTCACGTTCAATTCCAGTGTTTCACGACCGTTTTTTCCTATTATAGAACTCTACCGACCCTTTCTGGAACTATGCATCAGTGCGACATTTGTGAAGGCTTAGCACATGCAGGGAAACGTGTCAAAACAGACGTCATGGAACAAATCTCCTGCTGTGGTGAAGCAGATCCCGCGTCAGAGGCAGCGTCTCACCATGTCGTACGAAAGTAGAACACCTAAAGGCCAGTGAGGTCCACGATGGCTTTGATGAAGATGGTGTCGTCACGTATGTATGAGTTCTTGCCCTCCAGCTTGGACAGTGGACAGAAGAGCGGGCAGCCGCTGGCGATGTTCATCTCGCTTACAGGCCTCTGGAATGAGGAGGAAGTGATGTCGGGACGGAACGCGTCGATGATGTGTTCTCTGTTACTCTGGTCCAGCAGCATCAGCGTCACCTGGAAGAAAGTAACTAACTTCAGCTCACAAACACATAACAATGCATGCATTTTGAACTAGGATAGGTTAGGCTGTGATAATTGGTTCATTTAATTTTCCCCACCTGCATGGCCTTGGTTACAACACAGAATGTTAATACTATTCTTAATATTAAAATAGATAATCAAATATATAATTTAATAACATAAAATATACTAATATATAGTCATATATATACTAATATATGTGACCCTGGAGCACAAAAGCAGTCTTAAGTCGCTGGGGTATATTTGTAGCAATAGCCAACAATACATTGCATGGGTCAAAATTATTTTTTATTTTATGCCAAAAATCATTAGGGTATTAAGTAAAGATCCTGTTCCATGAAGATATTTTGTAAATTTCCTACTATAAATATATCAAAACTTAATTTTTGATTAGTAATAAGCATTGCTAAGAACTTCATTTGGACAACTTTAAAGGTGATTTTCTCAATATTTAGATTTTTTTGCACCCTCAGATTCCAGATTTTCAAATAGTTGTATCTCGGCCAAATATTGTCCTATCCTAACAAACCATACATCAATGGAAAGCTTGTTTAATCAGCTTTCAGATTACGTATAAATCTCAATTTTGAAAAATTGACCCTTATGACTGGTTTTGTGGTCCAGGGTCACATATATTAATATACAAATGAATCTACAAAAGTAATTAATTTATTCATCTATGTTCACTTAAAATATTATATATATATACATGCATACATATACACACACACACACACATAAATAAATTACTTAATCACTTAAAGTTTGTCCTATTTGAATTTAAATGACCTTTCATGAATAGTTATTTTTAGTTTATTTTTATCAAGAGTTTTACTATTGATAAAAAATACTGTAAAAATGAATACTCCTCATTGCAGCTTTAACACAGTTATGACCCTGGACCACAAAAGCAGTCATAAGTAGCAGTTATATTTGTAGCAATAGCCAAAAATACTAAAATAGCCAAAAATATAGGTCAAGATTATTGATTTTTCTT